CCCTTGTGGTCTCTTCCAACTCTATGATTCTATGATTCTATGAGTTTGGTAGGACACATGCTGGTCAAGCCTATAGTAGGCAGAACCTGGACTGAACTAGCTTAGTTATGACAGAACGGGCAAATCCAGAGCTTAGGGGTTAACATTTTTGGACTACTGCTCCCAGAATGCCCCAGCCAGTGTAGCCACTGGAGATAATTGCTGGGGGAGTCTGGGAGATATATACTACAGTTACAGAAGATGCTGCCTTGTATCAAGTCACATTTTTTCTTCCATCTATTTTGGAGACCAGGGTTTGAATCCCAGCTCAGCCATGAAAACCCACTGGGTGACCTTAGGCAAGTCACACTTTCTCAGCCTCAGAGGATGGCAGTGGCAAACCCTCTTTGAAGAACCTTGCCAAGGAAACTCCATGATAGGGTCACCTTGGGTTGCCATAAGTCGGAAATGACTTGAAGGCCCACAACAAACAATTTATGAATGACATTTCAACTTTTCCTCCAAGGAGCTCTCTCACACTCTCTCTCTTCTTCATGGCATGTTGTGGGGATAAAGTAGGAAGGAGAGAAAGTGGTCTGAAAATCTAATTTGTGTGCTACAGCATTCAGAATCCTGTAGATAGCATAGCCTACAACTCTCAGAATCCTACAGCTCTAACACCTATTTCCTGGATGGCCAGGGCATGATCAAATTTCTTAAGGAAATAGACAAATAGACATCCCTTACTCTTTTTGAAACATCCTTCATCCCTGTTTTTTGTTCCAGCTCTCTTTTCCAGTAGTCCTGTTTTTTCTCTCGTTTGTTCTATTTTGTATCTTGCTTTGTTTTTTGTTAATGGTTTTGTTGGTGTGTGTGCATTTTTAATACAATTAAGAAATGTAATGGATGGATGAATAGATGGATAGATAGATAGTTTCTGTAGTGAGTAGCTCCCTCCTCTAGCGACAGCAGGAAAAGGCATACTCTGGCATCTAAAAGGCTGCAGCAGCCAATTTTCAGCACTTCTGGAGCTGCAGAGGTTTGCATCTGTGCTCTTGCATTTTGGTGACTAGATCTGGTCATTCTTTGAGCTATTGTATGGGGATGGTCTTGCAGGCTGGGGGACCCCTGAAAAACCACATTTAACTGATTTAGACATTTTTGAAATTATTTTAGCTGGTAAACTGAAGATGCTATCATCTGCTTGGGATGATCCAAAGAGGCCATCCAATTCCCACCCCTGAATAGAGGAATTGGTGGTGCAGAAAACACAGAATCAGAATTCAAGTTTCAGAGCCCACAGCCCTTGGCAGTATCCCATTTTATTGTGTGGGCATGTTTTTTCCTCATAGAAAGACCTGCGGTGTAGATTATATTATTTACCAAGGTTGTGAATGTTGAATAATTCTCCCATGAAAGCAATGTTCTTTGCTTTGGACCAGCAATAGAAAGGTGTCATATAAGTTAGATTTAGTTGGCTATGGCCTTCAATACAAGGCACTCTGCTAACAGCTCCAAATGTATGTGTGTGAGGTAGATGCAAGAAAAATGTAAGTAGGCAGAGGAAAAGAGCACAAAAGGAGGAGGAGGGAGGAAGCCAATATCAATCTGACAAAGAAGGCAATTATGGGAATGGCCCTGAAATGGTATTTGTGGCTGCACTGCCAAAGTGAAGATTTTATTTCTGAATAGATGGGTATTTGAATGGAGTTCAGAGATGTTGGAGTATTTTTAGAAAGTCAGAGACGCAGATTCAGACTTTAATGTCAACGACATGATGCAGCCAGACGGAAGCCCTTCAGAGAAAACAGATCAAAATCTAGAGGAATGTTTCCTTAGGCCCAAACTTCACTGTTTTTGTTACAATTTCAGTTCAGACATACAGACATAACTTAACAACACCTCCAATAGTGAAGCTCCATTTTACAAAGTCATTTTATGACTACACTGCTGAAAGCGCATCAGGAGGCAGCAGCGGAGGAGGAGCCGGAAGCCGGGACTGGCTCCAAACCTGGACTGGGACATACACAAAGGGCTAAAAACTGTGAATGTCCTGGCAAAAGCTGGGATATGGCAACCCTAATTACAGGCCCTCTTCTTCATCATCCACTGTCTATCTAGAGGTTTTTCTAGCAGCATCTGCACTAGGCAGATGGAGAAGGAGGGGTGGAGAAACACAGCCTTCTCGTGCTGGGTTGCAGCAGCACATTTTGGTGTAAACAGTGGTTCCCAAACTTTGGTCCTCCAGGTATTTTGAACATCAGTCAAGCTCTCTGGGACTACTGGGAGCTGAAGTTCAAAGCACTTGGAAGACCAAAGTTTGGAAACAACTTTCCTTCTTGTTGTGTGCCTTCAAGTCATTTCTGACTTATGGTGACCCTACAGTGAACCCATCATGGGGTTTTCTTGGCAAGATTTATTCAGTAGAGGTTTGCCATTGCCTTCCCCTGAGGCTGAGAGCATGTGACTTACCCAAGGTCACCCAGTGGGTTTCATGGCCACACTGGGAATCGAACCCTGATCTCCAGAGTCACAGTCCAACACTCAAACCACTACCTCACACTGGCTGCAATACAATAAAGCTTCAGCTGAGAAAGAATGGAATTGTGTTCTAGCTGATCCTATTGTAGGTGTATGTGCCTGTCTAGAACAGGTAAGGCCCTTTTTTGGCCCTTTTATCACAATATTGGAATGTTATGTCATTTTATTTAAGGCTGTGGATGGCATCTCATTTCATACAAACGGAGACAGTGGAGATTATCACACAGGAGGAATTTCCTCCTCCTGTGCTTAATTTGTGTTATTAGCACGATCAGGGATCACACCCACGTGCGTATCCTGTCTTTCTCCCATCCAAAAACAGTCATGGACTCGTTATTGGGTATTAATGGAAGAAGGACAGAATATGCACAGAGATGTGTGATAATTTTCCCCTGATTGCGCTAATGGCATAAATTAAGTATGGGAGAAGGACACTTTCCTCTCCTGTGTGATTATCTCAAGTGTGATAAATTATGTTTCTTCTTGCTCGAATCATAGAATCCTAGAGTTGGAAGAGACCTCAAGGGACATCCGATCCAACCCCTGCCATGCAGGAAGACACAATCCAAGCACTCCCAACAAATGGCCATCCAACTTCTATTTAAAAACCTCCAAATTCACTGAATGATGGTTCTTTCCTTGAGAAATACTGTGGTAGTGACATTAGAACTAGGATGCTTGTGGGATTCAGGCTAAAAAATGAAGGAAAACAGAACAGCCACAGTAGGCAACACTATTTTGCTTGTTACATTGCAACTATTGGCAAGATTCTATGGGATTTGTTTATTTAATTTAATTTTTTTGCAAGCTGGCATATCTCTTAATAACTGTCAACCAAGGGGATAGAAGAAGAGAAGTATCTGCAGCTGCAGAATTTGTAAAGCCTTGAACATTCTCATTTCCTGATCTTCACAGCAATCATACAATGTCTTTATCTCTAAATTCTGACAAGCCAAATTACTGCCTCAATCACATTGACAGAAGACACACTCTTTGGCCCAGTAACAAGAACTAGTGTAGGATAGAAGATGGATCTTGGTGCTGAGATACCAGGACCCATCAAATTATTCCAACCCTACCCCTGAAGCAAAATACTTACTGTTCCCCACTTATTTGTACAATATCAAACCATCTCACAGAGAGAATAACAGCTTACTTTACAAAACATCTACAAACATATGTTTAGACCTGTTTGACTACAGTTTACCATAAAGAAGGGACTGTATTTGATGGCACTTCCTGATGGCTTTCTACACATAACTACACTTCCTAGTATTCATTAGGAAAAGAGCCATAACGATTAAACAAGGGAGCTGGGTATGTTTAGCATGGAGAAAAGAAGGTGAAGTGGTGACATGATATCCATGTTTAAATATTTGAAGGGATGTCATGTTGACAATGGAGCAATCTTGTTCTGCACCTCCAGAAACTAGGACCCAGAGCAATGGATTCAAACTACAGGGAAAGAGATTCCACTTAAACATTAGGAAGAACTTCCTGATGGTAAGAGCTGTTAACAGTGGAATACTTTGCCTTGGAACATGGTGAAGTCTTCTTCCTTGGAAGTTTTTCAATAGAGGTTGGATGGCCATCTGTCGGGAGTGCTTTGATTGTGTGTTCCTACATGGCAGGGGATTGGACTGGATGACCCTTATGATCTCTTCCATCTCTATGATTCTATGAAATACTATTATACATACATTCACCTGCCTGAAACCTTCAAGAAAAGGTTTCAAACTACTGAACCAATCTGCATTGAGGGGACACTTTTGACAAGGTCCCCCATGATATTCTTGAAAACAAGATAATAAAAAGTGGGCTAGACAATATAACTTTTAGGTGGATTAGTAATTGGTAGACTGACCAAACCCAAAGGGTGCTCAGAAATGGCTCCTCTTCATCCTGGAGAGAAGTGACCAGTGGGGTGCCCCAGGGTTCTGTACTGGGCCCAGGGCTATTCAACATCTTTATCAATGACTTGGATGAAAGAATAGGAGGCATGCTTATC